CCCCCGACTGGCGTGCATGTCGCTCCCTCGTCTTTCGCCCCCCCTCCCCACGGCTGTGGCTCCTCCCTGCTTCCTTTTTTTTTTTCCTGGTTCGCCCGTCCTCACAATGATGCCCCACCACGCCGGGGGGCTCCAGAGGGCGTCCGCCAGCACGAGAGAGGGAACCAGTGAGAGAGGGGGATGCATGACGCTCTTTTTCTGCCCCACCGCACGCGCGTGTCGGTCTTTCTCCCATGTCCTTGTTTTTCTCAGCCAACGTTCCCCTGTCCTTGGAAAATACACCTCCCCCCCTCCTCGCCGGCAATTTGCGAGCCCTCTCCGTACATATCCGGGAGCGCCCTGCGCGTCGATGAAATTGGACTCAGAACACCATTCTCTCGAGGATACTGAACATGAAGTACCGATATGCTATACCCGCGGCCATCCGTGTGTCGCGCACGAGGCAGCCCGATTCCGGGCCAGATCCTTCCCAATCTAGTTTCGGATACCCTAAAATACCCCCCCTCCCCTGCTGTGTGAGGTGCTCTGCGGGTGCACATCAGCACGGGCACCGCACGCGCGCGCGCTCATGATGCCGGGCGCTCGGCGCCGTGTTCTTGCCGTCGTGTTGTTCCCCTTCCCCCGTGCGCTTGGCGGCGGCCATTGGGGGGGGGGGGGGGGGGGGGGCACCGATTCTCTCAACCCAGGCGGGTGGCAACTTTCCCCCGACTGACCGGTGGCCAGCCCCACGCGAGGCGCCCGTTGCGTGAGCGCCGCGCGACCAGGCATTCTGGACACATACATGGGGCAGGGTTGGCATCCTCCGAAGGAAGGCCGCCAGCCGGGAAGGGGGGGAGGGGGGCGCGTGGAGCGGCGGGCTTGGGCGACGGGTCTCCTCTCAACCGAGTCACTTCTCACGCCGCTCTTGGGGGCTACTTTCGTCTCCGCCTCCCGTCGGAGGGGGGGGGGGGGGGGGGGGGGGGGGGGGGGGGGGGGGGGGGGGGGGGGGGGGCCCCGCCCCATTGACGCGCTGCGGGGGGGGGCGGGGCCCGGCGACGGTGCAAGGTGACCGGGGGGGGGGGGGGGGGGGGGGGGGAGGAGTATCCCAAGTCGTGCAGGCCATCTCGGCCCTCTGTTGGCCCATTTTTCTGCGGCGCCCCTCATGGAGGTGCGATCGCCCGCCTGCCCTATCCCCGATTGGCTCCGTCCTCCTCCCCCTTAGAACCTTTCTTTGGCCGCGACATCGCCTGTCCTTCACGTATCGCCCTCCTCCTTCTCCCTCCTCCCGCTGTCCTTTTTGCCCCCGCCCCGCCCCTCTGCCGTGCCTCCGCTCTTCCACGTCCTCTCGCTTGCGTGTCGCCTCCTCTCCCCCTGGGGCGTCCCCTGCGCCCGTGTTCCTAGGACACCCATGGTCTTGTCCTTGGTCGCCCTTGCTTCCCTCTGTCGTTCCTTCTCTGCCACCATTTCGCCCGTCAATTTCCTCGCTCCGCCGCCGCCCCTGACATCCGCCTTCCTGTTCCGCGCCCCACCCAGTCCACGCCACCATGTCCTCCCTCACCAGCCAGATCGTCAAGGTACTTTTTTTGCCTCCCTCTCCCCCCTCCGGGTCTGGCCTCCTGACTCTTGCTCCGACTCACTCTCCCCCTCCGGCTCACCCCCCTCCCCCTGCCTCTCCTCTGTCTCGTCCTACAGATCAGCCCCATGGTCATTCTCTCCATCCTCGACCACTTCACCCGCCGCCACGTCGACCAGGAGTACGTCATCGGTACCCTGCTTGGCACTATTGCCGAGAACGGCGACATCATCGTCAGCAACTGCTTCGCCATCCCGTACAACGTCGATGCCGTGCGTGCACGCCCCTCATGGATGCAGCATTCTTTCATTATTTCTGTGTTCTTGTTTCTTCCTGCCTTCTCTCCCTCTCTCTTTCTCTCGTCTTCCCTCTCCTCCCGCGCGCTCTCTCCCCCTCGTTCCTGCCTCTCTATGCCCCTTCTAGCCCTGCTCACATTTCCGTCCCCCCCCTCCTCCTCCTCCTCCTCCTCCTCCTCCTCCCAGATCAACGATGTTGAGGAGTCCCACCGGACTCTGCTTTCTCTCTTCCGTAAGGTGAACAAGCTGGAGTTCGTCATCGGCTGGTACACCACCGACACCGACATCGGCTCGAGCCACATCCAGCTCCAGAACTTCTTCTCCAAGGAGTGCCGCCATGCCGGCAAGGATCTCCAGCGCCCGATCGTCCTCACCGTCGATACCTCCCTCAAGACCAACTCCATCCAGAGCCATGTCTACACCAGGTGCGTGGCCGGTGGCGGGACTTCCTTCCCCCCGGCTGGCTTGCCAAGCCGGACCAGCGCGCTCTCTCTCTCTCTCTCTCTATCTAACTTTCCTCATGCACTTCCCGGCCCGCCCCTGTCCCGCTCCCCTTTCTCCCCTGGGATCGTGGATCGACGGGGTTCTTCTTTTTCGCGCCGGGCGTCCGCAGCTCCAACATCGGCGTTGGCGATTCCCCCTCTCACGGGCTCTTCTTCAGCTCCCTTGCCTTCGAGATCACCACCACCTCTGAGGATCGCCCCGGCCGTGCGCGCGCCCCCTCCCTGCTCTCCACCCCCCCTTTGTGCCCTACCATTGCCATTGCTTCCCGTGACTCACCCCCATTCCCTCACCCCCTCCCCTCCTTCATGGTGCTCCCCTCAAAACCATCACAGTGGACCTCCTCCTCCAGGCTTCCGAGACCGGCGAGGCTACCCCCAGCATCGAGCCCGTCAGCGACTTCCACTACCTCAAGCGCTGCCTCGCCGCCCTGGACAACCACCTTGCCGTCATCCTGGACTACGTGAATGCCGTCTGCAAGGGCGAGATTGAGGGCAACCCTCTCATCGGCCGCCAGATTTCCCACGTGCTGTCCTCCATCCCTCAGATGCCGGCTGACGAGCTTGAGGAGGCCTTCAACACCGACCTCCAGGTCCGCCTTCGTCCTGCGATCCTGCCCCTTGCTTTTTTGTTCTGTGCCGGAGCCACCGCACACCCTCTTGCCCGCTACTCACACATTCTCCCCGACAACCACCATCACCGCCGCCGTCGCGACCACAACCACTTCGCCACCACCCCGCAGGACCTTCTTATGGTTGTCTACCTGTCCAAGCTCACTCGTCACCAGCTGTCGATTGCCCGTCGCCTTCAGAACGTCATCTCCCTTGGTCGCGACCTGTAAGCGCCTGGTGTACGCGCGCGCGCGCGCGCGCGCGGCGCCTTCTCCTAACTGCGCTGGGCCAGCCGCTTGAAGGGAAGGGGAGGCCCATGTGTGCCGGACATTTCCCCCTCGCTCCCCTTCCCCCCTGCGTGCCTCGCGTGCGCGCATGTGTGCATGCGTGTGCACATGCCGCGGCGCCCCCTCTGCTCCTTGTGTATCTCCTTGCTCTGATCCCCGTTGCCGCCGCCGGCTGTCGCAAAAAACAAACAAACAAACAACAAACGAAGGACGTGCGGCGTTGACGCGGCCGTCCGCGGCGCGCGCACACACACACACACACACACACACATATATATATATTTTTCTACCTATATGTATATCTCCGTTTCCGTGTCCCACATCGCCTCCCTTTCTCTCTCTCTCTCTCTCTCTCTCTCCGTCCCATGGTGACACAGGGTCGCCCCTTGCGGCCCCTCTTTGTCCCTTTCCACCTTAAATACCAATAGCTCAAGTTCTGTTGCGTCCCCCCTTTTCGCATGTTTGTGCACGCGCATGGACACACGCCAAACGGGTGTGGCTGTTCCTCCCCCCCCCCCCCCCACCTGATCGGGCTTCTGCGGCCCTTGTGTGGTTGTGCCTTCCTCTGACGGGGAGAAGGGAGGAGGCAGGGAAGGCAGGGGAGACATGTGCGTGTATGTATGTGTGTGTGTGTGTTTGTCCGGTCTATTTTTTCTGTGTGCTCGTTTGTCAGGCATCACTCAGGCTGGCCTGGGATCTTGAGCAGAACATACGAGTGGAGGTTGGATGGCAAGTTGGCCATGCCGTCTGGCGGCCCGGGCTTCATGCTTCGCAGGAAGTCCAAGTGCTCTGCCGGGAACTCGGCTTTGCCACCTGGGGAGCCATGGTGGCCGTTCTCGGACAGGACCCCGGCCAAAAAGTCCTGCTGGTGGCGAAGCCCAGCCACCGAAGACGAGTCGGCAGGTAGCCCTGATCCCACGGAGTCCCAGATATCGGCAAACTCATTCTCCACGGTGTCCCCCTCCGGGCGCCGGGTGTAGCCCTCGCGCATGGCTTTTTGCTGCGTGTGCGTGTGCGGGCGTGCGTGTGCGGGCGTGCGTGTGCGTGTGTTTGTGAGTAAGCAGAGGACTGAGTGGGCCGAATAGCGAAGTTCAAGGGGGGGGGGGGGGGGGGGGGTGAAGCGCGGCGTGAGGGCGGCAGAAGATGGTAGCCAACGCACCCGCTCATGCTTGGCGTGGATTTTCTTGTTGAATTCGGAATGCTTCTCAGCGATGACGGCGATGAATCGCGACTGATATTGGGGGTTATGACACTGCAGGGCGAAATCCAGCTCCAGGATGTCGTGGAAAGAGAGGATCTTCTCGTGCGAGCAAAGTTGCGAGAAAACCTGAGCGGAGCATGGGGGCACACGAGCAAGAGCAGGCGGGAGGAGAGGGGCAAAGGGAGGGTGCACCCGTTAGCAGGCGTGACTGGGGCGGCACGTAGGGGCGATGAAGGACCGCATTTTCGGCGGCGTACACGGCAGCACTCGGAAATCAGCTTGACATGGACTCCCGGCGGGCACAGCTGCCTGGCGATCTCTTGGAAGTCCGATTGAAGGTGATTCGTGATGAGTAGCGTGGTGTCCGGATTGCGGAGATCCAGCATCCGGCGAAGGGCGAAAAAAAGGACGATCTTCGAGAAAAGCGAGTCCCGGGGATCTTGCCCCGGCTGGCATGCGCCGATCAGGAGAGCCACGGTCAGAGAGGCAGAGGGGGGCTGGCAGCAGCAGCAGCAGCAGCAGCAGCGGCACAGAGAGAGGGAGAGAGAGAGAGAGAGGGAGCCGGAGCCATGCATGGCCGCAGCGGCCGGGCGCGAGTATGGCTGTGGCGCACCTTCTTGATGTGGCCGAAGACATAGTGCATCAGGTCGCGCTGGATCTCCGGCGAGTTGTGGGACATCGTGTTGAAGGCGCGATCGATGGCGAAGGTGGGTAGCTGGCCGGTGGCGAAGACGGTGGCCTGATTGAAAGACGGGTTGTTGGGGTCGCCATGCGCCGACAGTTCGTTGATCACCTCCAGGAGGGCGAGCCAGTCGTCGAAGGCCGAGTTGTTGGGCATTTCGGCCGCTGGCGAAGTGGCGCCGGCAATGGGACCGGCAGCAGGAAGGGGCCGGGAGGGGTGGGCTAGGGCGCGAGGCAGCGACCGAAGGTGTGAGGGATGAAGCGAGGGGGAGGGGGGGCAGCGGGGCAGCGGGGCAGCGGGGCAGGGGCAAGCAAATGTCGGTGGGGCTTTCCCAGTCCGGGGAAGCGGGTCCCGGGGCGCTTCGGCAAAAGCCGGCCCGGGGATTCGCGCGAGCCGGCCGCAAAAGGGAAAAGAGAAAAAGAGGCGTCGCAAGCCAAGCAGGCCGCCGCCATGTTTTTTCTACTCCCCCCCCCCCCCCCCCCGGCAGCGGGGGCAATTCCACTGGGAGAGGCTTGTGAGTTTGGGGCCACACCCACCTGAACCGCTGGGGGAGGGGGGGGGGGCGGTGGGGCCGAGCCCAAGCCCTGTTGTGGACGAAACACAGTCGCGGGCGGCGGTCGCGTTACATCGCGACACATGACCATCGGCGCGGCTGACCGTAATCACGCGACAGATTGGGGGGTAAACTGCCCATCACCATGGCCCAGCGGGCCGGATTTGGCGGGACGGGCCGACCATGCTCCGTGGTGTGGTGCTCGGCAGCCATGCTTCTCTGCAGCCGGGGTGGGGCGGGGCGGGGCGGGGCGGGGCGGGGGGCGGCCGCGGTGTTGAGGGGTGCGGGCGCACACCTGCCGAGCTTAAGTCTCGGGCACTGCTTTGGTGGCTCGCCCTTCTCGGTCGGCCCCGCAGCCGACACAGCTTGGAGCCGGGCGGGCCCCGGGGGAGGGCCTATCCCACGGGCGCGCTGCCCTTGGATGTCGAGCATCAGGATGAATGGCCATGTCCATCCCCCATCGGAGGGGGGCTCGGCCAAGGTAGCTGCGTCTCTCGGATGTCCGAGCACCGGGCTGGTGGAAGCAGGGACCTGTGTCGGTTTTAAATTGTTTTCTTTTTTTTGAGCCCAGGCAAGCGCTGCCGCTTGGTAGCCTAGAGCTGGCCTGTGGGCGAGGAGCACGGGGGCCATGCAGGCGATCTGGCCCATCCCCATGGCCTTGGGAGGGTGCCGCGTGGGCAGGAGGCCGGCATGGTGAATGGGGCTCCCCGCCCCTGGACGCCCTGTGTGGCCGCGCTTGCACGGAATGTGCACAGCCCCATTCCTCCTCCCCTCTCCCTCCCCCCGAGGGGTCTCCCCCCCCCTCCCCCCCCCCCTCCCCGATCGATGGGCACCCCCCTGGGGGGAGGGCGATACGCTAGCCGCAGCCCATACGGTGCCATTGCCTGCCCATGGCCGGCACTAGCGCCGGGATGTGTCCTGCGCCGGTCCGACCCGGGAGGCTGAGCCCCACACTGGACCAGGGGATCGGCCGAGCCACAGCTGGCCATGCCCAGCGTCGGCGGGGGCCCGGGGCCCGGGGCCCGGGGGCATGGGGCGCGGGGCGCGGGGCGCTGAGCAGGCACAGCGCGGAGGGGCCTGGGGAGGGGCGGATCCGGCGACAGTGCACGGTGCAGGCCAGTAACATCGGGGCCTACGAAGGTGCCCCATGGCAGGGGGGCCCGCCCGGGGTCTTCAAGGGCTCGGGTCGCAGGCGCCTCTCCCCGGCCGGGAGAGGGGAGCATTTTTCTTCACCTAGTTCGGCTCCTCCTCCCATCTCGCCGAATCCATCCCTCGCGCCCTGTGTCCCTCCTGCCTCTTTGCCCGCCTTTCGCCCCAGAGCCCAGAGCCTTCGCCTTTCGTTGGGTCCTTCCTCATTGTGTGGGCTTCGGGCCGGTTGCCATCCCCCCCAGTTGCCTCCGGGTCTGCGATCCGCTGCCGGCCGGCCGCGATCCCCCCCTCCCCCCCCTCCCCCCGTTCCTTGTTCCATCGATCTTCTCGTCGCCTCCCTCACCCGGCGCGCCATGCAGGAGATCAGTCGGCTGACGGTGGACACGTCCCTCGTGGCGGTGGCGGCCTCACGGTCGACGCCTGGCACCGAGTGGCCAGGGGCCGAGCAGCCCCGAGCCGGGCCGCCGAATCTGGCGCACCAGCTTCCGCCCGGGGGTCTTGTTGGGCCGCATGTGCTTTCGCCCCTGGCCCCGGGCGAGGGACCGCACTTCCCGCACGACAGGCTGGCCGGGCATGGCTGTTCCCAACCGGCGGCCCACGCCGCGGGGGGCGTGTTCACTGGCAAGCATATCGACACCCCGGCCTGTGGCATCTCCACCTCGCCCACCCGGACGCAATTGTTTTTCCCGCCTCCCGCCGCGCCGTCTCCCGCCGTGGGCGAAGTGCCCGGCAGCAACTTCCCCCTCGTCGCTGGGCCAGCCTGTCGGCCGACCGCTGCACCACCATGTGCGTGGCTTCCCGAGAGTCGCTCCTTTTGCATGGCGCCACCCGGGGGCCTCCTCGCCCACCTGTCGATCGGCTGCCTGACCCGTGCTTCTTTGTGCATCCCCATGCCCGTGGGCACCTATTAACATGCACGTGCGTGTGCCGCGGCCTCTCGGGGTCGGCCATCCTTCCACCCGGTGCAGCTGCCGGGCCCGAGCCTCCTGCCGTGGCGGAATACCGCGAGCAGCTTCGGCGCATGTTCCAGCACTTCGATGAGCGCCGCCACACGCTAAACCAAGTCCTCAGCCGGTGCCAGCAGATGACCCAGCTCCAGGCGCGCTTCGGCGGCGACCCGGACTTCCAGCAGGAATTCGAGCAAACCCAAGCCCTGTACAGGCGTCTGCATGAGGAGCTCCGCCACCAGCAGGGGCAAATCATGCACATGCGATCTTTGGTCCGGCAATTGGAGCTGCACCCCCCCGCGGACCCCTACCCCATGCCAATGCAGCCCAGCCAGGTCCCCCTCGTCCAAGCCCGCGACCTGGGCCTCTATCCGGCTCCGCCGGCCGCCGGCCCGGGGATTCGCATTGCCGCGGCAACAGCCGGCCCGGGGCGGGCTGGCCCGGTGGCCGATGCCCCGGTGTCCGGTCGGCCCACCGCCGACGCCCCCGGCGGCACGGGGGCTTTTGCCTGCCGCCAGGAGGCCCCCCCGCCGGTCAAGGAGGGTACGTCCCCGGCCATGCGCCTTCCATGCCCGGGATCCGCCCTTGGGAGTTCCTCCCGGGGCTTGCGCAGCTCTCTCCCGAGTAGCACCTGCATCAGCAGCATCACCATCATCGTCGCCAGACGCCTCTGCAGCCGTGGCAGCGCGAAGGCCCCCTTGTTCCGATGCCAGGTGACTGACGCGCCTTCTCCTCGTGTCGGCCCATGGTCCCCCCCCCCCCTTTTTAGAGCCGGTGTTCTCCTCGTGCGGGGGGACGCCCCTGTCTGCCGCCGAAGCCAGCAATGCCCTGCCGACGTCCTATTCGGCAGAGATGGACGACGAGGAAGAGGAGGAGGACTTCGACGAGGAGCATGCTGCCACCGCTTCCGGGACCGCGGCCCTGGCCGACCGGAAGCTCGGCCCCGGCGACGAACCGGACGAGGACGCGGTCCTGCGTGAACGCCTCACGGCCATCCTCCGGCGCATGTCCCAGCAGCCGCGCTTCCCGCGCATCACCCTGGCCCAGTTGCTGGAGCGCCGCCGGGGGTTCCTCATGCTGTCGGACCCGGAGCGCGATGCCCTGCTCATGGGCATGCTCCTGATGACTGAGGGCGGCAAGAGCCGGGCCGTGGTGGCCGCGGTTAATGGCACGGCCGGGCTGCTGAGCGAGGGGGCGGCAGCCGCGGCGGCCGCGGCGGCCGCCGCGGCCACCGCTACCGGGGGCTCCGCCGCTCCGGGGCTCCTGGGCGACGGGCCCCTCGGCATGGCCGGCCTCGATCGGCGTCTATTGCCTCCGGTCAAGCGTGGCCGACGCCCCGGCCGTCCGGCCGGGCGCAAGAATGACAGCACCATTCGCCAGATGATGCTGGAGTCGCAGCGGGCGGCCGCCGCGGCGGCGGCCCTTCGCGGGGAGCCCCCGCCCCCGGACCCAAACCCGCTGCTCCTGCCAGCCAGCCTGCGGTCCGTGGCCGGGGCCACGCCCAGCGGCCCCGGTGGCGGGACGTCCAGCAACATCCGCCGGCGGAAGATCGTCGTCCAATACTGCCTGGACAGCTATACCCCCGTGCCGCGGGATCTCTTTTTCTTGTTGTACGACCTGAATAGCTTGCAGCTGCAGCGCATTCGCCAGCGCATGGTGGCCCTCGGGCTTGTGACCGCGTCCATGCGGGCCGGGCTCTATGATGACCGTGAGGCGTATGCCTTCAGCCGAGAGTGCGTGTGCAACGTGTGCATGTGTGTGTGGATGTGTGTGTGTGGATGTGTGTGTGTGTCCTCCCGATGTCCGAAGGGGGAGACGGGCACACCCTGCGGGGAAGATATGTCGCATTTCCCCTTGCCCGCCCCTTGCTCCGGCCTCCTTTGCAGGAATGCCACGCGCCATTGTGACTGACCTTGTCCCTGACTGCCGCCCGAATCCCCCCCCCCCCCCCCCCCC